TTTAATTTTTTGGAATCTAAACATCATTCTACTTGATCATGCACCGAGTGGTACATGTGCAACTCTTCTCCTTGAAGTTGCTTTGAAGCACATTATGTGCGTCAATCCCAATATTCCTATTCTTTGTCTTTTTATTTTGCCAGTACGATCTTAATAAGTTTCTAAATTCATTTTCTTGCTTCATGCAGTTATGTGTTCCTGGGTGTACACGATTGAGCATTGACGGGATTGTTAATATTTTGAAATCCTTCAACCCTCACAATGGTTCCCTGGGTATAAAGTACCTGCGAATTGGTGGGCTTTATGGTGTAACGCATGAACATGTTGAAGATCTGAAGATCCTGTTGGGTGTGGATAAAAAAGTACAAGAAAATATTTGCAAGCCACATTTTTACTTGAGGGGAAAATTTTATGTCTTGTGCGATGATGATCGTGCGCTTGATGTTGAAGTATGTCCTATATGCCAAAAGTTGAGGCTGGTCTATGATTGCCCATCTGAGGGTTGTCAGGTGAAAGATCAAAATGCTCAATTATGCAGGGCATGTGCGCTTTGTATTCCTCGCTGTGCTCAGTGTGGTAGGTGTATCAATGATGGTGAATATGAAGAGACATTTTGTCTGGACAATGTTTGTTCAGATTGTTTTCAAAATCTATCCAAGGACCATGACAAGCAAGATAGAAAGCTTGGTTCCAACACAAGTTGAGCAAAATATGAATTTCAGTTACCAAGGTTGAAAATGATGCTGGTATGATGGAGAAATGAAGGGATTATGTTGATGATACTAGTATGATGGGGAAATGAAGGGATTATGCTGATGATAGTATGCTACTTTCCCTACATGTTTAGCTGCAAAAATATATTTTCACTTGATGTGTTTGCGCCTATGATTGATGAAGTGATTCTTGTTGAATTATTGTGCTCAGACGCAGACACTTGTTCTTAGGAGACTTTGCTTATGGGTTACCTGAACCTTTTCTGTTCCTTGAGCTCATGGTTCTGACCAATGGTTCGAATGCTTGCACTGCATGAGTTTAGCGGTGGTTTTGACTATATTAGTGTCTATGGACATAATATTTAAGTATATATGCACACCATGGCCGTGAATTCAGTGATGGCACTGTAATATTTTAATTTCTTGTTTCTGTGAGCCTTTATAACTTTTGAGCGTAAATGAGATATTATTCAAGGATTTAATTGTGACTTAATTGTTTGATGGGCAGCTTTGCAGGGGTTATATGTGGATCGTACTATTACTTTTCATTCTGATAACTTACAACTGAATAGGTGGAAACGCTGAATAAAGATGTTTGGTTAGCATAATTTGCAAAAAAGATTTTCAAATATTATTCAATTTGCATCATAAATGTAATTTTTAATCATCTTTTTATCTTCATCCCTTACGCATCAAAGTACTATTACTTTTCATTCTGATTACTTTGCAGGGGTTATATGTGGATCGTACTATTACTTTTCATTCTGATAACTTACAACTGAATAGGTGGAAACGCTGAATAAAGATGTTTGGTTAGCATAATTTGCCAAAAAGATTTTCAAATATTATTCAATTTGCATCATAAATGTAATTTTTAATCATCTTTTTATCTTCATCCCTTACGCATCAAAGTACTATTACTTTTCATTCTGATTACTTTGCAGGGGTTATATGTGGATCGTACTATTACTTTTCATTCTGATAACTTACAACTGTATAGGTGGAAACGCTCAATAAAGATGTTTGGTTAGCATAATTTGCAAAAAAGATTTTCAAATATTATTCAATTTGCATCATAAATGTAATTTTTAATTATTTTTTTATCTTCATCCCTTATGCATCAAGTAAAAATAAATAAATAAATAAATAAAATTACAGACATTGATAATGTAATGACCAGATCAAAAGCAAACATGCAGCTTGAAACTCGCCATTTTCTCTTTGTATCCCTCTTCAAGAGCAGCTATTATGCTTCCCGCATCATCTTGTTCGATGGCCTGCAGACTGCATCTATGTTCCTGTAAACTAGCCAAAATAGCAGTCAAACTTGACGAAGCAACAGCAATAAATTTATATTTGGAAGAAGTAAAATTTGATTTAGAAATTAGACAATGGAGCATAGAATGAGTTGTCATTATATAGTTGCTTTTTCTTTCTGCTTTTTCATAATTTCAATTTTACACAACTTAATTATATTAATATGGAACCTACATTTCAACAAATGATCCATTGATTCACCATTAACCCGCCAACCCAGCCTCTTCTTGGGTTGATTCTTTTGGCGCCGGGGGTGGGGGTGGTGGATTTGGTAACTACAACTTGTAGACCTATAATGCTGATTTCTTGCACGTCAACCGGCTTATATCCCATATAAATTGCTATCACTCCGGAATTCAAAGGTGCTGTATATTTTGAAGGAGAAACCTAGCATAATATGTTGCTTAGTTGGACGAGAAATACAAAGGAATAAAAATTGTTGCACGCTTATTGGTGCAGTTTTTTCTATAGAATTGGAACTTGGAAATCCTTTAGCTGTTCGTGTTAGTGCTTTTACCATTCTGTTACTTCTGTATATCTGTTGATTGATGGATATGAAATCTTTTGTTAGTTTTATTACTTTGGGATAAGTTGCTGTATTCGGTGGATGGATCATTTTAATTCTTCTGTTCTCGGACTGCAGACAATGGAACTTGTTGTACTCGTTCATTTGGCGGCTTTTCTTATGGGTTTTTTTTTTTTTGCAGGAAGATGTGTAGTGTGCAATTGCACGTATTTAAGGGCGCTTCTGATAAAATTGAGATCTTCATTGATTGCTCAAATTTGGACAATGATTTACTGAAGCTACTTAATTGATCATCGAGTACATATGTCTTTTGATAACTGACGGTTGAATCTCATGAATTTTACCATTTTTCCCTTAGTCGTTAATGATGTCTTATTTTGTTATATTTGAACCATCAATACATGAAATTTAATTTCGTAAAAAATGAAAAAAAATACTTCTCTAAAATGGGCATTGAAAAGGAATGGATTAAAACAAAGCGACAACAAAAGTATCCGATGACAGATTTATTAGAGAAAAAAATGAGAGCTAGCATGCATATAAGTAATTCATTTCAAAAGTTAGTATTGCTAATTTGTGAGTTAAATTCTAACATCCCAGTGGCCAAGGGAGGGCCCTTAGGGTCTTCTTGCTGCCAGGTTCAAGGTTCAAATTCTGTGCCTATGGTTAAAAATGGGAAGGCTGTGAAGAGGGATGAGAAGATTAAAAAAAAAAATCAAAAAAAAGAGTTCAATTCTAACATCTAAATTTAAATTTATTATGTATTAAGTGATAGGTGCAAAGGTTATTACATTATTTTAGAAGTATGTTTTGCCCATATTCTTAGAGCTATCAAGCATATAAGAGGTTCTATTGTTGTTTATCAAATCATATCTTATTATGGTTAACTTTTAAAAGCTAAATTTGACTATCAAATAGGAGACAAAGATAAGGAGAAGCATTTGTGATAAAAACCATTCAAAATTGCAATTCGCAAGGCGTTATCCTAACTAAGTTAATATCACGGTTGACGATAAAATCAAGAGTGTTGCAAAAGCTGTTTATCAGGATATACAGTCTATCTTAACTATCGAGCTATAATTGTATTCATATCCTTCTTGACTTTGTCTAAAATTCCATGCCTTGTGAAGGGACAAAATCTGCTCCCTACCCTTGTTCTTGGTTGGGTTCCTCCGGTCAGCTGAAGAAAGCACCTTGGAGTTGTATATGGTCGCTTTTATTTCTCACCGTGGACTTCCATTTTGCATGTCTCTCCAAATAGAGAGCTTAATTAAAGAAATTGTTCCACTGACTCAATTGGCTATCTGATTGGAAAGTTGTATAACAAGTTTTCTTTTCTCTACAATTTCCCCGTGTGATATAAGGGATAATCAAATAATGCGCAATAAATAAATTAACTGGAAATGTGAAACAAAACTTGCATTAATTGATTGAATAATTCCAAGTTTTGGAAAATTAAAATTTGCTGCTTCGTCCTGTGTTTATTTTGTTCGAGGGAGGGTGCTATGAAATATATGGAGAACATACATTCTAAAAACTCTTTCACATCGTCATGATGTATTGCATGCAAAATTGCAACCCGCCATGCACAAATATGCCAACAAAAGCCAGAGGGAGCTGTAGTGGAGGAAAAAACAAATATAAAAGAAGAACAACATACTAAACCATGCTATAAAGGTCTGGAATGGAGATTAACCTTCCATTTATCTAAAGGCTTTAAATGAACAAGAAAAATGTGCTACATACCATATAGAATTTGGAAGTTACAAGCAATGATCCATATATGAAACTTGGTAGCTGATCCAGGGAGGATGAGAAAAGATTGCTCCAAGAGTTTTTTCCATCAACAAATCACATCCGAGAACAAGAGAGGTTAGTTGTATTAAATCAAATCCTCATTATTGTTTCTGGGATTTCTTGCCGAGGCTTTTAATCCAGCTGAGGGTCAAAATCTTCTTCCCAAGTTTGCTCTTGTTAGACCCATCTTTCCCCTTCTTCTTGTCATTGTCTGATGCAGGTGGTAGAGGCTCGGGGTCCCATTGGTCAGCCCAAGAAAGGCCCTCAGATTTATACACATCCATTTTTCTTCGGTCTCCTCAAACCTCCACTCTGCACGTTGCCCAGACAGGGATTTGCAAAGGGAGAGATTAACCGAAAGGATAAGTACCAATTATTTGCTCTCGTCTACAACCGGGAAATGACTCTGATCCCGGATGAATATCTTCCAGCAAGCCTCACAAAATGCGAAGCTTGAAAATATATGCAAACAAGTAAAACCATTGCTTGATTCTCTCTCCTCTCTCGTCCATCCTGAAATTAATCTGCACCTCTAGTTGTATAATAGACTATGAAAGGAAGAGTTGCTGCGCTTAAAAATGATGGACGGTCTAAAAGAGGGTACCATTTGAAATTCTCTCTCTTCTTCTTTGTCCAGAGTAAATACATTTGCAAGGTACAATATCCTCTCTTCATTAATTCCGCTTGAGATACTCAACAGAAGTTACTTTCAGGGGTACAAGGTAGTCATTTGGCCAAACCACCTTCCAAGGCAGTCAAAACGTAATTAAGCCAACAGACATAAAATCTCGTTTTAGGGACGCAAACAGCGTCCCAGACAGGGGCAGGCCAGACCAACAAAGCGCAATTTCGAGAATTAACTTTCTTGTTTTGGTACGATGTTTGAAATCCAAATCAGGGTCTAAGTTCCTAAATTCTGCTAATTCTACCCTAAATTTACACCGCGATACACTGCACCAGGACACAGATCATCCAGGCTATCGATGTTTCGGTAACCATCGTACTCTCTCAGACACGTCCATCCTCGACGAGACAAAAAATCACGAAAGTCATCCTCACTGTAAAACGTTTTATCCTCAGTGTGCACTGGCAAGTCATCTGCTTCCTCGTACAGACAGAATTTAATTGTCAGACCTGCGAATCAGAAGAATTACTTAAAAGAGATCTCACCAGAAGAATTTAAATGTCAGACCTGAGAGCTGGGCCATGGTATTTAGTTCCAAACACAATCTACACCAGGCCTCAGTCCAGAATTACTATAAAATGCTAGTAATATTTGTCTATTTTATAATTAAGAATAAAGAAATGTGCATCACCATGACCATAGCAAGAACACTGGTCGGAACTAATTTATCACCGTGAATTGCTTTAGAAGTGTAATGCAGGACCGTTAACCATCTTCTGGCTGTTAAAAAGCATACAAGTGTAGCATTACCTTCATCAACATGGAGGGTATAGTTCCCCAAGGGCATATCCCTATCAAGAGTTCGGACAATGTTACTATCATCCTCCAGCCAAAATGCACGCTTCGTCCTTAACCTGAAAGTGGCCTTGATAGCTTCCTTGATGCCATCAGGAGTGCCGTCTATACCAATTCTTTTTGTGTAATCCCCCCACTTGACAGATATGACCCTCCCCTCATATGATGCATTCTGATGACCTGCCCAAGGACAAAGTGAAACAAAACAAGAAAGAAAAAATTATTACAGATCTTAAGACTTGTCCAAGTCCATGACATTGTGCTCCGCAGCTACTGAAATCTGACTGTCTATGCTACAAAGAAAAGAAATACCAAATCGAATTTGCACAAGGTTCACTACCAAGTTTATTGAGTTTTCATCTGAGATCACGGATAACCAGCGAGAGTGAACTTCCAAAGGAAGCAGACTGCAAATTTTACATTAAACATTTATTTTGACTACTCATTTCTTCTTTGGAAACAATAGCTGCCCTATCCTATTTAGCTTCCGTATCTACTCTCTCGAGCTAGTACCATTAATAGAACATTACGTAAGGTACATAGCCCTGCCTCAACTTGAAAGGGTAAGGCTGCCTATTCCTAAACCTTCCTAAACCAAGAATGTTACTTCCAAACTAATCATTTGTGTGAGACTTGAGATTGACTTCACCTCAAGGCTGTAGAGCTACCATTTCAAATACCAAATTATTATCTTAGTCATCCAAGGTTATTGCATAGTATATATCACGGTGTTTTCAAGATCTCAATATTTTCTTTTAATTTTAATTGGGTGATTACTCTCGATCAAGGAATTAGCACCACTGAGTATGATAGGGGCACGATTTACACACACACATATCCATCTTGTTACCGGAAGATAACTATGGTTTTGTCCAGCCCCAAAAAATAGATTAGAGTTATGTTTAAGAAGGAATCAATTGCATCCCCGACCAAAAGCAACATTTATAAGAAGCATAAAAACTGTATGCTGCTTGTTGAAATTTGGATGCATTATTCTAACCATTTCCAGGATTCTCTCTCCAGTTCCAGGGGGAAACTTCACTAGCTGCAACTGCTTCTGTTGCAGTGATGGCCAGAGGATGCCCATCATGATCCAACCGCCTTTCCAAGTTAAGGGGCTGCCTACCATCACCTGCATGCCAAGGATGTCAAAAGCACAGAGTTAGCATTGCAGTGGATTGTCAAATGGACAGACCACTCCAACTCATAAATGAAGAAATTTCCAGACAAATGGATCTAGTACATTTCGGAATCAGAAGATATGCTTATGAGTTCATCTACAAGAAAAACTACCCAATGTTGGCAAAATCAGATCATGGTTAAGAGCAAACTGTCAGCCTTCAAGGTTAAGCAACATGACTAAAGGAAAAGAAGAACCATGAGATCTAACCAACGAATGATGCCTGCTCTCTTTTAACAATCTGATCCCTGTATGGAACAGATGCAGAGGCATTTAGAAACTTCCTCTCCTTGTTTCTAGCATTTTTCATTTTTTATTCATGTACCCTGTTTCTCATCCATTGCACATTTATGTTCTGTTTTACACATACTGGCTACTCTCCAATCTTTAAACCACAGTTTTGGCTATAGACACAAATACAACATTTAGTGCCATACCTATGTGCAAAGTAGACCAAGCCAGACTGGTTTATGATCATATGCTGGTGGGGCAAACTTTGTACAAAGCATACTTCTAAACATCATAATATCATTAAATAAGAGCATACTGTGCAGTCAAACATTTTGAAATCCATGCACGAAAATTAACAGCAAGAAAATTCTCTATATTATTTTTTGCTTTTAAATCTCAAGTTAAATTATCAAAATGATACGTGAATCAACATGTTAAGCGCGTACAAGGCAACACAAGCAACTTCCTAGTTACCAAAACTATAAAGTAGAAATTGAATGTGCTAGCCACTCTAATTTGTGAACAGTTTTAATTTGTGAAGGACCTTCATCAAACAAACCAACTTTTGTCACTTAACTACTAAACAGTTCTCAATAGTGCTAACCTCAGCAAAAGTCCATGCAGTTTATCAAAGTCCTTGGGGAGGGGCAAACATTTGCGAGGAATTGCAAATTCAACATAAACTTGGTTATTTGTAATTTGTTATCTAAACTATACTCAAGTAAAGCAATTGACAGTTAGCACAAATGACAAAAGCTTAACATATAACAAACCTTCAACTGTTTCAAATGTAATACTGGTGTCATCAATACCTGCATTTGTAAAATAGGACAATAAGATTGCATTACAAGCAATAAGTTTTTCTATAAATCAACAAGTATCTCTTCCTAGAAATTCTGTTTTCACTAAAACATGCACACACATGCATGAGCGCACACACAAAAATACACACGCAAAACAGTAAAGACAACTACAAGGTTTAGCTTGAAGTCCATTCAATAGCAATTTCCTCACAGTGTTACAGCAAACCATCATGAAACATCAAAACCAGAAAAGAAACTCAATCCATCTCTCATTGCATTTCCTCCAGCCACATAAAGTCACAAAAACAACAAAAGTTGAAAAACAAAAAAATTCATGTTAACCTTATTAAGAAGAGGGCCCTATACTCCATTCTGACTCCTTGCTTTGTAATTCCTCATTACAGTACAAAGAAATGGAAATGCAACCCAGACACCAGATATCTTAACCATTACCAAAAGCAGCATAAAGGGATAAACTTCTATTATTCAATAAATTGGAAGAGGGCTCTTGTTTCTCCCTCTACTACTTTGACTCAAATTTCCTTGACGCAAGACCAAGAGATGCAAATTCAATAAAATAAAAAATAAAAGAAGAAACAACAGTTAAATTTATGCATTCCCTCATCAGAAAGCTGCATAAATGAATTAACTTTATTACAAGAAGTAGGACTGACGGTCCCTATAACTCCTCCATTTCACTAGCTTAACTTTTTTTAAAAAAATCATCAATAAAACACAAGTGCAAATTCAACCTAAAAAATTTCTTTTCTACAACGTACCCTTATCAGAAAACTGCATAAAGGAATCAACTTTATTGGAAGAAGTAGGAGGAGGGCTCTTGTAACTGCTACTGTTCTTGCTTCTTTCCCTCAGAATCTCCTCAATTTCCTTGTAGTACGACATCTTCGCGGACCCATTTCTGTCCCCATTCTGTTTCACCTTCTTAAACTCCTTGAGCAAATTCCTCCACTTATCAGTACACATAGTTGGAGATCTATCAAACCCTTTTTCCCTCATCTTCAGAGAAATCTGGTCCCACAAATGCTTGTTAGATTTCGAAGTATTAAATAAGGAATCAATTTCTCTCCTTAAGCTAATAAGGGCTCGAGTTTCTTCTTGAACCCACGTCTCAGCTCGTTTTTTAGGGGCTTTTAAGTCAGAAGAAGAAGATAATGGGTGGGTTGTATTGGTGTTGTCTTCGCCACCGCTGCTGGTGGTGTCACCCCCTCCTCCGACGCCCAAGACTTGGCGGTGCTGGGGCGGAGGGAGGTGGTTGTTGGCTGTGGAGACCTCGATGATCATATCTCCGGTGGCTGTTTCGGGATTATCTTCTTCTTTGTAGAAGTCGATGGCTCGAGGGGGCTGCTCAGACACGTACATGATACTGGACTAATTAGAGAGTGAGTCGGAGAGAAAAGTAGTAATTGGGACGGTCTTAATTCTTGTTGGTTGTTTAGATGTTGGTACTATTTATCACCTTGAATTTCGCATTTTCCAGATTTTTGCCTTTTCTTGTATTTGGAAAGACCGGAAAACGTTTTTTTCCTGCTAAATGGATTTATGAACAGCATTAATTATTTAAGGGCTCAAATTGGAAAGTCTTAAGGTTCACAAAAAATGTAGATAAAGTGCAACCAAATGAATAATTATACTAGTATTAGGGGAGCATCTACCATGTAATATATGATACTTATGGTATCTCATGATTCTTTTTCTTGTTTTTTTTGTTCACACTGTTATTTTTACAATGTGATATGTTTCTTTTGTTCCATTTTAATAATCTTGTTTTTTTTTTCATTTGCTTCAAATTGTGGATTACCTTCCAATTGAAGAATATAGCTAACATTTAAATTCTCTAAATTATCCTCATTTAATATATTTTGTCATTAATAAATATAGTTTATCTTATTTAATACAATCAACTTTTCCACACCAACAACTACTTTGATATATATCATCATTATTACTGCTGTAATTAATATAAAGGTTTCGTGATTGGAGAGAGGGATGAGCAGGGTAATTCGGGAGATGATGTGTAGGTGAGAGATCCTAAATTCGAATCCTATAATTTAAATTGAAAAAATTTTAAAAAAAGGTATAGTGATTGATGATATTTCTAATATTAATATAAAGATATTTTAGAAAAATATTAGACTAGATTTATTTTTTTTACAAAATTAACTAGTAATTTTTTTAAAATTGTGTAAGGAAAAAATCAAAATTATCAAAGTGGAATGATAGTACCACACCGTAGAATTTCCCCTAGCACTACTAGTTAACCACAGGGAAGAGAATAGCTAGATATATTCGTCATGCTGCGTCATTTTAAAAAATATATATATTTATAGATTGCAAAAGCTCGCATTCAAATAATAGTAGCGCTTGCAGCTAGAGGTCCAAGAAACTTGGGACCTGCCGATTGATGCAAGTGCACATTCTGTACAGAAACTTGGGACAGAGGATTAAGAGCAACACGAAAATTGATGGCTCAAAACCTAAAGGCGACAGGATTTTGCATAAGGGTTTAACCCCTTTCTAAGGGCTTTGATGAAATGCGGAGAAAAGCTCCGAATTGAGGACCTTCGAAGAGATTAAAAATGCAATAGCGAGTTTTAGGCACTTTGAGCATATATGTGCAGAGCCCAAATTGAAAGTCGAGTTCAGAAGCAAGTCAGCCAAAATCAGGAGGACAACTCACCAGATGAAACTTGAAAGTGTGATATATGGCAGGGACAACAGAAGATCAAATTCAGAAGTTCTCAGTTGCAGTTGGCTCATCCAAAAAAATGGACCAGTACAAAATACATCAATGTCTTAACAGTGTGAATCAATGATTCACAAAACAAATTCACAAGTTGCTCATCCTAACAAATCAACTATTACAGAACACACCACTGCAACAAGATGTGAATCAATGATTCACCAGAGTTCACAATTTGAATAAAACCAAGACGGAAACAACACAGATTTGAACGTTACGGCTCGTCCCACTCGTCGTTCTTGTAAGATACCAAAGTGTCAACCTTGTGTATCTGCATTTAAAGAACAAACCTCAATACTTAAATTTGCGAAACTTTCAACAAGTTAAGGTTATATTCTGACTGATTCTGCCCAGCAGACCCTACCTTTGTGTCAAAGGAATGTAACTTAACCATCTGTGGATTCGCAATCAGCTTAGCATCACTCTCAATCCAAGTAAATGGGACTGCAACATCTTTATCAGTATAGGCTAAAACATCAAACACACCTGCATTCAGTAACAAAAACCATCACATTTAGCCCATCCCAAAATTAAAAAAAAATAAATAAATAGATTTCAAGAAATAAGATAACCCGATGAACTCTATTCTATACTCACAGGGTTCATCCAGGCACGGCAAGTAAGTAATGCTGGAAGCTATCTGTCTCATGATAGCTTGGATTTCCCTCATAATCTCCTTATCACTCTTTTCCCTTGAGACACTGAAATTGATACCAAACCAAAGAATCCATAAGCATAGGAGCACAATTTCCTTTTCCAAAATGACAAAAAGAATCTGGGATGGAGGAGGAAATATACCCCTTCTCAACCACTTCGCTGTCAGTCTCAATACTGAAATTCCACCTCTCTAGGACCTCACCGCTGGCCTTGCTCATGATGACAAGGACTACCCTCTGCAATTTCCCAGCTTCCAGCCATTCTTTTACAAAGTTCCAATTGAACAACTTTAAGTCACATGCAATTTCAAATCGAGATTGACAATTAAAGTAGCCCGAATCCAGAATTACCTGAAAGCTGAGAAGTTAAGTTTGAAATGAAGGTTTTGACACCTTCATCCTGAGTAAGCAGCATAGGTAGCCCATATTTCTTCACCTTTCCAAAACTTTCCTCAGGGTAAACTCCGCGGTTGTACAATATGCTAAATCAAGAGGAACAAAAAAAAAAAAAAACTTAGCATCAAAGATTCTACATTCAAGACCCCAACCCAAAAAAAAGGGGAAAACTGAGTATTTAATTTCTGCACCTGTTGGCTGCATAACCTGCAAAGAATTTGCAGGAAACACAAAAGTTAGGTACAATTTTACCAAGACCACTAAAGAATTTAAGAAAAGTAAAATTTTGGGGAAAATTAAAGAAATGAAATAAGGATCAAACATACCAAAGAATTCGCTGACTATTGCTGCTGATCCACGAAGGGTGATGATATCTTTGGTGGCTATTCTTGCAGCCATGATTTTCTTCTTAGGTCTAAGAAATTTGAGAAATGTTCGAACAAGAAATTTAATGACAGACTTCTGAAGGGTTTATGAATGAAAGAAAAATACCAAGAAAATGGTGCTCAATATACGGTTGGGTTATCAAAGAAACAAAAAGAGGACTTTTAGTTGGGTTTCGATTCTTGATAATTGATACAGGAACATGAATATGAAGAAATGGTTTAGGGTTTGGACAAAAATGAGAAAGCAAAGGTGGCGCGTTAACGGCTACTTGTAATTTGGTTAACGGTCGAATTGTTTTGAAATTGGCGATTTAACGGTTGGGAACTTGAATCTGAGTGGGACAAAAACGGAGCCTACTTTCTCCGGGGCTCCAATTTCTAACCCGGCTTGACTGGTGCTGGGCAAATCCCTTTCCAATATCCACCATATTTGGGGCCCGGGGGCGAGGGGGTTTGTCTGGGCCCTTCTGAAAAGTGATGAAAGCCCATTTTAATTGGTTCCTCAGTGAATATTTGGCATTATTAGAGTGATTTCTTTTTTTTTTTTTCATGTTTCAAAAATTAAATTTATCTCCTTAAATTAATATTTTTACGATTACTTTTGGAGAAAAAAAGTTTTGTGATGTGAGTACGAAACATACCAAAGTGAAGAATTACTTTATCTCTATGGTCCGAACTTTCCAAGCTACTAATGGTGTTTCAAACACATCTATTTGGTTCAAGTTGATGATGAAACAGACCAGGGATCAACTTGGAAGGCATTGGGGTAGCTCGTTGGCTAAGAAAAGCACGAAAAAATGAAGTAGAAGCAAAAACGCGACCAGGTCCGCCCGTGGATCCAGCTTGCTTCCTTTTTGACGTGACTTCTAGTGATGTTCGGCCTCATGTCCGATTTAATGTCCCAGGCCGGTCATTGTCGAATTAGCTTTCTTAATTTTTAGCGTTTTTGAGTTATTTTCTATTTTCTAGCATTTGTTTGGATCTTGTAAGTCTATTGAGACATCTCTAGCATGTTTGACACAAATACTACTATTTTTTTTTTTTTTTTTTTTTTTTCGACGGAGTGGGGTGTCCGGGTCAAGTCCGTAAAGGCGGCCCGACTAATCCCCACTCCGGCCCGGCCCAGCGCCCCAACCAGACCTAGCACGTTAAATGCACGGCGAACTGATGTTGCTGCGGAGGTTCGACCCCAAGACCTAACGGTCCCGAGGAGGAGGCGCCAACCACCAGCCCATTCACGTGGGGGCAAATACTACTATTATTAAGGTTTAGAAAATTGTGTCTTGTTAGTCGAATTAAAAAACTTATATTATTTCCAAATAGAACTAGGTTTTGAATCTTGTAAGATTATAAATAAGCCTAATTTGCGACGTTTTCTTTAGAGAGAATAGAGAAGAATAATTTTATCAAAAAATTTCAAAATTTCTTATTTATGAGAAATAGTTCTTTTAGCTTGTGAAAATTATCCTTAAACATCTTAGAGTAGTTCTAAGGTGATTTTTGACTTATCAAATCAAACAATACACTTGATTTTGGTGTCGTTCTACCCGTTTTAATCTTTCTTAAACGGTCCAAGATTGGTTAAAGAATTTCCATCCCAAACGTTGAACCTAATTCTAAATCCAGACTTGTGAATTGTGTTTTTGATTATCCTTTGAGGGTCGAGACTCGTATCATTTTGTTAACATAAGGAAGGTTAGTATAGGGTAACTGTAAAGCATGAGGACTCTTTTGGTGTAATAAACTTTACATAAACAATTATCCCTGGTATAGCACTGCCATTTTTAGTTTCTTTTATAGTTCATATGTCAAGAAGTGTTTTCATAGAATTAATATACGAGTAACATGTTTTGCATTCTATAAATCTTTCACTTGTTTTTTGTTGTTCAATTTATTTTTCGAGAATTCTCCTCTTCTACTAGTCTTTTCATGCATTTGTCTACCCTAGTTTTTCTACATTGGTTCTACCAGGTCTGTTCATATATTTGTTCGTCCTAGAGCTTATTTGAATTGTTATTTTTATAAAAAATATATTTATATATACGATAACGATTTGATGTGCATGAAATAAAAAGGTAATGAAAACATGTTTTGATTGAAAGCGTAAAAATTTGTTAGAGAAAAAGAAAAAGATATAACTTCTGCTATAATTCTTTCGAAAATTTCTGTCTTTCACCAGATTCTGATTTAAGCCATAAATGTGATGATAGCCTGACACCCCTTTGAAGAAACCCCAAAAAAAAAAAAAAATTGTTGACACTATGTGCTCATTAACT